AAAAAGGTGCAGTGAAATAACTTTTATTGTCAATATATATAAAGTATATAACAGATTTTGTGCAAATCAGGTGTGCAATTTCAACGTTAACTTTAGTTTTCTCTCATATACTGTACAGTCTCCTTATATTGGACCTTTCCAATTTTAGTAACTCTCCTCTTCTTCCCCACCACCACAGATGTATTGTCCATTCTGCGGATCTGCACTGATAGCGTCTCCTGCATTTTGTTGTCTGTGTGGCAGAAACATCAGTTTTTTAAATGATCTGCCAAACAAAGTCCCTCCTGTTGTCCCTCCCATTGCACCTCCTGATCCACAGCCTAGCACTAGTACAGGTGAACAGAAAGTTGTATTCATGACATCTCGGCAAATCTGTTCTAAAATATCATGCAGAAAAGACTAATCATTATAATAATAATAGTGAAAGACATTCTTTCGGAAAACACAGAACGCTAAAAACAAGAACTTTATGGAACATAAATCAGTAAAGGTATGCTCACATACAGTCACCAATGCAGATCAAATAATAAAATTTTAATTTCATTTTCATTTACTTCTCTTCCTTAAGATTGATGTTGGAGTTACAGTCATGTGAAAAAATTAGGACACCCTTTGAAAGCATGTGTATTTTGTAACATGTTTTAATATATGGTTATTTAATCTCAATTTTAACAATACAGAGAGATTAAAGTAATACAACTAAACAAGTAAAACTGAAGAAAAGTCTTTTCAAGATCTTCTGTAAATGTAATTCTACAAAAATGCCTATTCTAACTGAGGAAAAAGATAGCACACCCTCACATGTATGCCCTCTTAAAATGGCTCAAATCACACACAGGTATATCACACCAGGTGCACATAATTAGTAGATCGTTACTCAGCATTTTGAATGAGGCTTGCCCCATCTAAACCTCAAACATTTAGTTTGGTGTGCTCCTGACTGTTGAAGTGAGAGTGAGCACCATGGTGAGAGCAAAAGAGCTGTCAGAGGCCTTCAGAAAAAACATTGTAGCAGCCTATGAGTCTGGTAAAGGATTTAAAAAGATCTCAAAAGATTTTGAAATCAGCCATTCCACTGTCCGGAAGATAGTCTACAAATGGAGGGCTTTCAAAACAACTGCCAACATGCCCAGGTCTGGTCGCCCCAGCAAGTTCACACCAAGAGCAGACCGCAAGATGCTAAAAGAGGTCTCCAAAAACCCTAAAATGTCATCTCGAGACCTACAGCAGGCTCTGGCTACTGTTGATGTAGAAGTGCATGCCTCTACAATCAGAAAGAGACTGCACAAGTTTAACTTGCATGGGAGGCGTGCAAGGAGGAAACCTTTGCTCTCTAAGAGAAACATCAAGGCCAGACTGACATTTGCCAGAGAGAATGTTGACAAAGACCAGGACTTCTGGAATAATGTTCTTTGGACAGATGAGTCCAAAATTGAATTATTTGGACACCAGAGCAGAGGACATGTTTGGCGTAAACCAAACACAGCATTCCAGGAAAAGAACCTCATACCAACTGTGAAGCATGGAGGTGGAAGTGTCATGGTTTGGGGCTGCTTTGCTGCAGCAGGACCTGGTCAGCTCACCATCATAGAATCCACCATGAATTCTACTGTGTATCAGAAGGTGCTTGAAGAACATGTGAGACCATCGGTTAGAAAATTAAAGCTGAAGCGGAACTGGACCATGCAACATGACAATGACCCAAAACATACTAGTAAATCAACCAAAGACTGGCTGAAAAAGAAGAAATGGAGAGTCCTGGAATGGCAGAGTCAAAGTCCAGACCTGAATCCCATTGAGATGCTGTGGGGTGACTTGAAAAGGGCTGTACATGCAAGAAACCCCTCAAACATCTCACAGCTGAAACAATTCTGCATTGAGGAGTGGGATAAAATTCCCTCAGACCGATGTCAGAGACTATTAGATGGCTACAAGAACCGTCTCACTGCAGTTATTTCAGCCAAAGGAGGTAACACTAGCTATTAGGGGCTAGGGTGTGCTAACTTTTTCCTCAGTTGGAATAGGCATTTTTGTAGAATTACATTTACAGAAGATCTTGAAAAGACTTTTCTTCAGTTTTACTTGTTTAGTTGTATTACTTTAATCTCTCTGTATTGTTAAAATTGAGATTAAATAACCATATATTAAAACATGTTACAAAATACACATGCTTTCAAAGGGTGTCCTAATTTTTTCACATGACTGTAGGTGGAAACAGATGATTCTCTGTGGCGACCCCTAACGGGAACAGCCGAAAGAAGAAGAAGAAGAACAAAAACAAGTAAAGTGATATCGGTGACTTTTATCTGGACATGTCTAGGCAACTTGGATGGAGTTGCTGATCAGGAGTTTGGATGTTGTGACCATCGCAGTGCCTCCTGCCCTGCCTGCAGCCATCACTGCTGGCACCATCTATGCCCAGCACAGGCTGAAGAGCCAGGGTGTCTTCTGCATCAGTCCACCACGCATCAATGTATGTGGCAAGGTCTCACTCTTCTGCTTTGATAAGGTGAGGAGGAATTTAACAGAGGTTTACTCTGTGTGTAGACGACAGTCATGGCCACTTCACATGTCCATTTGAATTTCATCAGAATACTTTTGTTTTCCCAGACAGGAACTCTGACGGAGGAGGGGCTGGATGTTTGGGGAGTGATGGAAGGGGGACCTGCTGGGTTCTCAGAGCTGGTCCCAGAGCCCAGACTCTTGCCCCCAGGCCTCATGCTCTCTGGATTAGCCTGCTGTCACACTGTGACGCTGCTGGAAGGTCAGCCCCTCGGAGACCCTCTGGAGCTGAAGATGGTCGAGTCCACTAGTTGGGTATGATAGCATAAAGCTTTTTTTTTTTTTTTTTTTTTTTTTTTTTTTTTATTACTTTGTTCACAGATGCCTGAATCAGTTCATTATAAGTTTCAAGCTCTTAGAACATTTGGACTATGAGCATTGCATGTCGTTTCCTTCAGCTGTGTGACTATTGAGTTACTAAAAACCTGAGACAGATCAATGAACGTAATCAGCAACTCTTGGCTTGTTCCTGCTGCTGTGCCCAGTCTAACCTGCTGTTTGTCCTGTGTGCAGGAGGCAATGTGGGGAGCCGGCACGAGGCACGGGGTCCAGCCCTGAGGAGGCGTCCTGCGGCTGGGAGGAGCGTGGCCCTCCTGTGGCCCTCCTGCGGCGCTCTGGGACACTCCTACTAAGATGTCCCTCAGCAGCGGCCCTGCAGGCGGGAAAGGTGTGGACTCCAACGCAGTGGACACGTACGACAGTGGCGATGAGTGGGATATCGGTGTTGGTAATTTGATCATTGACCTGGATGCCGACTTGGAGAAGGACAAACTAGAGATGTCGAGCAGTAAGGAGGGAGGGAGCATGGGTGCCCCTCCCAGTGCTGTGGCAGCTTTACCGGACAATATAAAGTTTGTTAGTCCTGTAGCCGCGCAGGGCAAAGAGAGCAAATCAAAATCCAAACGTAGTAAAAACTCTAAGGAGAGCATTAAGGCCCCAGCCTCAGATGGAGCTAAAAAAGAGGCTCAGGGTCGGACA